GTATAAAAATAGTATCCTTAAAATCTAATTTCTCTCTTTTTAGGTACACTTTTAAAACTTTTTTTGCTAGTATATGTTTGAAGTACATGAAGCTTACAATCTCATTTGCTTACTTTTATTTCTTTGTCTCCTTTCATTTTTCCCTCAATTTTTATTCTATTTACTTTTTAAAATCCTTTTCTTTTATCTTTTCCTATCTCCCAGCCTTTTTCTACCATTACTAATCCTTTGTAACCATGGGTTATTTAAAGAGTAGAAAATTTGCTATCCAAGCTCTAAATTACATACCAGTACACAACAGCTTCTTTAGCTATTGATATTATCAGCAGTGGTTCTCTCTCTGCAATTCGGCATTAGGGGTCTCTATTATAGTGGCAGGACTTTCTAGCCCAACTAATATGCAATACAAAAACAGAAAAAATATAAGAATAATTTTTGCCAATAAAAATGGCAACAAATGACTTAAAAGATCATAATTTTCCAAAAGCTACTCTCAGAAGCACTGAAGTGGAAGAGGCCCAGGCCTTGAAAACTAAATGTTTAAAATGTTTGAACAGAATAAAGAAGAAACAAGCAAATACATAAGACATTCAATGAACTTAAAGAGAATGTAAATAAGGGGTTAATAAGATGTTCAATGAGCTTTAAGAAGACACAAGGAGCTTGATTAAATTAAAGAAGACAATGCAGGATATGAATGAACAACTTAGTAAAGAAATTATGAGTTACAAAGAAGAATCAAGTAGAAATGAAAAGCATAGCTAAAACGACATCAATAGATATGCTCAGTCAGAGAACTTTAAACAGAGACTGCAAAGACAATATCATGAAACAACCCAACATAAAGAATATATCTAACTGGGGAGTAGTAAACAGAAAAGTAGGAATTAGCACTGAAAAGAATACTTCAATGACAGGAATCAATAAATATCTTTCAATGATAATACTGCATATACATGATCTTAACTCTTTCAAGACAGACCAGCTGAACAGATAAAAGACAAACCCAATTATACGTCCCTTATAAGAGACATACCTCATCCACAGAGAAACACCGACTGAAAGTCAAAGGACAAAAAATGATACACTTTCCAACTGGAGCCCAAAAGCAAGCAGAAGAAGCTAAACATCAAGCAAAAACTGATCAGAAGAGACAAAGAAGGTCGCCACATATTTGTAATGGGAAAAATTCAAAAGAAATTTACAACTATATATGCACTAAATGTTGACATGCATAACTATTATTCAAAAGTTTTAGACATGAAAGGCTAGACAAACATCAGTACAATCAGAGCAGGCAACTGTAATACTCTCCTCTCACAAATAAGACAGTTCAATCAGGCAAAATTTCAACAAAGAAATACCACAGTTGAACCATAAAAATGAATAAATGAACCAAATATATCTATAGAGTGTTTTAAGAAACAAAGGAAGAACACACATTCCGGTCAGCTGCCCACAGAACCTTCTCCAAAAGAGACCACACCTCGGGCCACAAAACATATCTCAATAAATATAACAGAATTCAAACAACCTCCTGTACCTCTTCAGTTCACAATGGAATAAAACTAGAAACCAACAACAAAAGAAACCACACAAATGCATGAAGGTTAAATAATATTTTCTTAAATAATAAGCGGATCACAGAAGAAATCATGAAATAAGTAAAAGTTTCTAGAATCAAATAACAATGGCAATACAACATGCCAAAACTTGTGGAACACAATAAAAACATTCCCTAAGAAGGAAATTTATAGCTGTGTGTATATCAGGAAAGTGGAGTACCACCAAATAAATATCCCAATTATGCCCCTCAAGGCCCTAAAAATGGAGGATTTTTTTTTGCTCCGAATTCCTTCAGGGCAGGTTTGGCTGGCTTGAGTTGTGGGGATCGAATCACAGCAAGCTGAGCCTGACTGCTTTGTTGAAGCAGCCACTTAAAGAACTGAGCTAAGGGGCAGGCCACCAAGGCCCTAAAAATGGAAAAGTAATCCAAAAACAAAATCTGTAGAAGAGGAAAAAAGGTATAAAGATTGGAACAGAAATAAATGAAATTGATACTAAAGAAAAAATATCAGTATCAGTGAATCAAAGCATTGGTTCTTTGAAAGAATAAAAGTGATTTAAAACTTAGTCAAATGTACCAAAAGAAAAAGACACCAATTTCATTAGAAATAAAGAAGGCAAAATCCTAGCAGATAGTGCTAAGATCCACAGGATTATAAGAAATTATTTTGAAAACTTACTCAAATTTGTTTTCAAATACATTACAGAATCTAGAAGAAATGTATAAATTCCTAGACACATATTACTTATCAAAATTGAATGAAGACTTTAAAACCTTGAATATATCAATAAAATGTAGTAATTGTGGCAGTAATAAAAACTATCAACTAAGAAATCCTAGGAACCAGTGGACTTACTACTGAACTCTACCAAAACTTCAGCAAAGAGTTACTTCCAAAGCTTTTCAAACTCTGCCATGAAATTAAGAGGGATGAAACACCGTGAAAGCTCCTACTTACACAGTGCAGAAAGAGAACTTAAAAAATAATTAACTATCTCTGTTCTGTTCTTTATACTACACAATACATCAAGAAAAAAGGTTAAGATATTGAGGCAACCCTTAGAGAGAGGGTTCTACAATAAGTAGAACCAGGGCCAGGGACATAGCTCAGTGGCATAAGCACCTGCCTGGCAAATGTAAGGTCCTGAGTTCAATCCCCTGAACCGCAAAAATAAATAGATAGATAGATAGATAGATAGATAGATAGATAGATAGATAGAACCAAAGTCCAGAGAGGTTTAATAATTTGCCCAATATTAATGGGAAGGGAAGCAACAAAAAGTAGGACAAAAATCTAACTCTATTATCTCTCAACTGGTTTCTACTGATATACTACAACCTTACCAGTAGAAAGAAGTTTCATAAATATTTCTAATAGAAGTCCTTTAAAATATTAGGTATTTTGTAAACGCTAAATAATTCATCGCTGTATCTTGCTAAGATGAACTCCTGGAAGGTATCTATTATGCTCAGTGTGCAAAATAAAATGCCCACTGCCACAGAAGACAGTGTTTAACAATAAGGCCACAGCAGGAATCACTAATTTTACCTTGTCCACGCCTCCTGGACCTCAAGAACAACAAAATGTCCCCCTGTTGTCTTCACAGGCACAGAGCAATCTTTTAGGAAATTGGTATGTGGTTCCTTTTTTTTTCAATCTGTGATTAACCTGCTTTCCTTCACCCACCTCAAATGTATTGCAATGTTACAGGCCAACTTTCTGTTGCACCAAAAAGGAAAGTAATAAGTAAAAGAGTTTCATGTTGTTTCCTTACCATATTTTCCCTAAGGTTTATTAAACTACATTTAAAAATATTTTTAAACACTCTCTTAATTCAATTATTAAACTGAAAGACTGGGTCTTTCAAAATAATTGTGTTAACACTTTATAATCAGCAGAGAGAACCGGTAACTAAGGGGGCATAAGAAGTACTAAGATATGCTATGCATCCCCACAGTGAATGTAAATTTTGTGCACAAGAACAGAAAACAATTTCAAATCCTGACATTTTCTGGCACCAAGTAACAAAATAAACCAAATATTGCAAGTTCCACATAAAAAAGATAAAACTTCATTCAACTAAAAAAAATGCACATAAGGGAAATAGATCAGGGTCTAGTTTACATCAAGACAGGTCTGATAAATATTAATTCTCTTTTTCTTTCAACACTGTTTTAAGCATACAGCATACTGCTATATGGACATTTTTCTCCATCTTTGTCCATCCCCAAAACCATTCTGAATTACCCAAAGCAATGCAGTATACAACCTGGGCAGTGTAGTTCTACATTCTGAATATCAGTTTTTCCCCATTTAGAATTATATTAGTCGTTGGGTTGTCACAGATGGCTTTTATCAAATTGAAGTAGAGGCCTTCTATTCTAATTTTCTGTAGGACTTTGAATATGAACGAGTGTTGGACTTTGTCAAAAGCCTTTTCTGCATCAATGGAGATGATCATGTGGGTTTTGGATTTCGCTCTATTGATATAGTATATTACATTTATAGACTTTCAAATATTGAACCATCCTTGCATCCCTGAGATGAATCCTACCTGGTCATGGTGTATGATCTTCTTGATGATTTGCTGTATTCTATTTGTTAGGATTTTATTGAGGATTTTTGCAACTATGTTCAGGAGGGAGATTGGCCTGTAGTTCTCTTTTTTAGCTATGTCTTTCCCAGGTTTTGGTATCAATATAATACTTGCGTGCAGGAATGATTTTGGGAGAACTGTTTCCTTTTCAATTTCATTGAAGAGTCTGAATATCACAGCCTCTCTTCTAAAGCCTTCCTCGTAAAAAGCAGATGCTGTCATCACACACTGCTTCTACTGATTTAGCTTCCTTACTTCCCAAACCACGTACAGAGTGCATGAAACAGAAGCCCAATCCTTTCAGTGAATCTTGAGGTAGTGATTATCTTTGACGCCTAAAGAAATCAGTTCAGTAGCTAGAACCCCTCAAGAAAGAATAAACTGATTGATAATTAATACTTAATAAGGACATTTTATATTTTTGGTGAAACAACTTCAAATATCCGGCGAAGAACTGTAAGGATGTAATCATTCAGCACCTGCTTAGGCAAGCTCAGGGACCGGGCTTCGATCTGCAGGCACCACATGCCGTGCCAGCCCCACCTCCAGGCATTCTGAGCCAGCCACGAAGAGTAGGTGTGGTGACACATCCCTGTAACCCCAGTGCTGGGGAGGCTGAAAACAGCAGGATCACTGCAAGTCTGAGCTGCTTAGTAAGACCCTGTACCAAATAAAACAATTTTTTTAAAAAAGAAACAAAGAAAAGAAACCAAAAAAAAAAAAGCAATCATTCAAAAGTAATTGTTTTAAATCAATTAATATCATTAGGGTAAAGTTTAGACAAAAATATTTTCAATGCCTAACTAAATTTATTCACACTATATCAGAGTTCTCACCTATGGTAGTTCTTGAAATAATTGACACTTTGTTTTCTAATAGATTCTTGTAAAACTTCAGACTTGCTACCACAAAATTCTTCTCCAACTTGCATTAACCTGGTTGGATAGAAAGATTTATGCAAATTTAGCAATATTCTTACAGAGAAAAAAAGCCCAGGCTCTCCTTCAAAACAACAAAACATAAAAATTTAGATACTTCAAAAATTTCTGAAGTTCAGAAATTCACAATGTTTTATAAACATCCAAAGGGCAGAAATATTTAAACACGTGCACATACAAATCAAGCAGCAATTAGTTATAAATGTATAATTATCTTCATTTCTGTGAAGAAAATCTACATAACAACTCATTAATTCATGCTTTATTTGATTATCATGGTTGAATCATTCAAAGTAAAGAATAAGACAAGATTAAAACACTACCTGCTGATTATATCCAAAACAAAGATGAAATCGTCATATTTGAATATAGACAAATCAGTTCCAAGTAAGTAGGTTTTTACTTTTAGCTGAACATCCTGTAAGACAAAAAAAAAAAAAAATAATAATAATAATAATAATAATAAAAGATGTCACATATCCAAAACACACAAAAAAAAAGTTCTTAGCACCATTTATTCTAAATTACATAACAAAATGACACAAGTCATTTTTAACCTGATGAACAGTATCTATTTTGGTCAATAGGGAACCAAAATAATAGAGAAAAATAATAGAGCAAAATAATAGAGAAAATTCTATGAATATCAGATACAATATAGAAACAGCTGGAATCATAAAGTTCTAAAAAGATGCACAGACATACACAAAGAATTGTATCCTCATGATAGATATGAGGACAAAAAGCATCTTCATGCATTTGGTTGGACGAATCTTTATGCAAGTCTGGTTGGTCACACCTCCATAAAATAATTCAAAACTAAGTAACTATATGAAGTGACTAAATACGAGACAATATATAAAAACTGCTAACTTTCATGTAACTTCCAACAGTTGGAGGTTTTCACTGCAGGGACTTAAACATAGGAGGAATAATCTTTTGGGTTTTTTTGTTTTGCTTTTTAGTAGAAATAATCTTAAGAAATATAAAACATTTAAGAAAGCACTAACAGCTCTAATGAGATACAAAAAGAATTCTGAACCTACTGAAAGTTAATGGGATGGTATGGGTCACTAAACAGTAAAACAATGGCAGTTTTTGTTCAAATTAATGTTATGTTCAATGAAATTCTAACAAAAAGGACAACAGAAACATTTTTGACTATTATTTTAAAATTCACCCAGAAGAATAAGAAGCCATAATTGCTTTTTTAAAAACAAAGCTTTGTAAAGGCTGAATAAAAGTTATATTGGAAAATTTGTGCTACTTATGTTAGAACTACTTAAAAGAGTGTTAGCAATATAAGAAAGAAATCAACAAAGACAAATAACATAGAAATAGTCAATAATTTTTTTACATTACAAAGGACACAAGTAAAACACAATCCAAAACTGTCTTTAAAAACCAGATGGCCTAACATTTATCAGGCAGATATATGCGAAATAAAAGGTAAGAGTAGTAGTAAAATACATCAAACCAACTGGAATGCATTGCAAAATGGCCTCAGAATAAAAAAATAAAATTTAAAAAAAAGCTAGTATCTTAATCAGTGCAGAGAATTATGTATACAGAAAGTATAGTAGCTATTAGCATTTCAGCATCAATATGGCTGAACATAAAAAGCAAAAGTTGTTAGAAGTCTGGCAAACTGTAATCATTCTAGAAGGGTAAAACTTTCACAACTGCACAGATTAGGGAGAAAAAGAACAACAAAAAGAAAAGATATAAAGCCAAATAATATAATTAACAAGTTTGATTTAATACACATACAGAATCTAATTTCTAACACAAAGGAACTATAAAACTACTTTCCAAATATTCCAGGATGAATTTTAAAAATGGGTCCTTCATTTTGTTCATTTGGATTTCTTTACCTTTTACTCAATTGAATGTATGTATAATATATAAAATATGTAGGTTATATTTAACATCGTTTTGTAGCATACCTTGATCATTTCTGAGATTAGAGAAGATATGTCTTTGTACATCCTGGCCAGATGCAGAAATCTTAAGTCAATTTATATTACAAGAACCAGCAGAATAGTAGTACAGGTTAGAGGCTGGTCAGCAGTTTGCTACCAAGATTTAAAATTAGTATGAATATAAGAATTGATGCCTCCGTGTTGCAGGGATACATACTGGGGTGAGGATTCTCTTGGATTACAGGTAAATTTTCTCAATTTAGTCCATCTATCTCTTTTTTCATTGCTTTATTTGAATATATCCTTAGCCAAAAGCACCTTGGAATTCAGAATTCCAGATGTTAGGAAAGGTACATATGGCATATACTCTACGACTTCCCTATCTTAGAGACTGGTAACACCTCTAAATCAAACATTAATATTCCTATAACATATCAATGTTCAATTTAATAGATAATAAATACTAGCTGTAGCCAAAAGATAATAATCTGTGGCCAGATTCTGCTGCAAAATGAGTTCTATGCAGAATTTTGTCTACTATGTTACCAAGTTTTAAAAAAAAAGTATTTAACAGCATTTGCTTTTTCAGTTGTACTAAGCATTTTCATCCTGATTTTAAAAACATTCAATGAGTCACAAAACATGAAAGTCTTGTTCTATCACAGGTTAAGAATGGGTCAGGAGTGCCACGGGGACTGAGTGATGGAGATGGAGATGCTCAGGCTTAAAACCCAGAACACAGTAATTTATACTAAAAGCACACCTTCCATGAACAGGTCAACTGCTCAAGTGGAAACAGTTACTACACTTCACCGATAACAGTCTGTTAGGAACGCCCCCAGGCTGCCAAACTCAATGGAAATTAGCCGGGTATTTCAAAGCACATTGCACTACCAGAATTTTTGCTACAGATGCTATAATTTCAACTCTGCACAATAAGATGCTATTGGGGATCTAAATTAGAAAGACTCATATCTGATCCTGGACATGTATTTAATGAGATTTTCTTTTCTTTTAAGCATTATACTCAGAAAAAAAGCAATCCAAACTCAAAACTTATGGTCAATAATTGGTTCAAAATGTTCATATATGCTGCCGTGCTGTCTCTCGGGTAGATGATTGTTCAAAGAGAAGGGGGTGGTGAATGAAGGCAGGAGACAGGAAAAGGAATGTTGCGGGACTGTCCAGCTACAAGGTTGTATATGGTTAGGTTTCTGAAATTATGTGTAAACATAGGATTTATATAATTCTTTATGCCTATTTTTAAAATATATTTTAATTTTTTAAATGTTTTTTCATCATATTCTGTAGGGAATTATAGTTTAACATATCAATACTTGATGAAAAATACCTGTTCCACGTTATGCCTACAATGTTTGATATTCAGACAGATAGTAAGGTTAAGCTTAACAGCCTAGGTTGCATGGTAAAAACAATAAGCTTCTCTTCTGGAGGGTTAACAACCTAAGTTTGCAGACCAAAAATTAGAGAAAAAGGAATGTCGCAAGGCAAGCCAACATTTTGGCCCTAGCCTTCCAAGGTCAATTAAGACTCAGGACATAAAGAGAATTTGTACTGTAACATCATGTAACTCAGTAGTGTCCCAAATTTTCTGATCAAGGAGATTATGGGGCCAAAGAGGAAAGTGATCGATGATGTAGAGTGTGCCTAAGGGGAGTCACATGGAGAGAAAACATTCTCTCAGGCTTTCACAGAGAGCACAGTGGCCAAGCAATGGCCATGACTCATCCACAGGGCTGACACTGACAAAGGATAAATCTGAGGTATAGGATTTCAGGATAAATCCTGAGGGGATTTCACTGACCTTATCAGATCCAAAAGCTACAACTCTTGTTGCATAGGTCTTGCTTTATCTTGGTCCTACCTATCCAGCAGAAAAGTAAAAAAATGAAGTACAAGAAATAAATCCATGATGTTATGTTGAGCTGTAGGGGATCCAGGTCAATAATTTCTGACATTGCCAGTGAAGCAGAAGACCCAATACTATTATGGACTACTGGACTCTTTTAGAATAATTTGCTGAGTTAACACACCTATAATATTCTAATGACGGAACTAAACAAAAAAGGGGATACAGATGAATGTCCATTTTGTATCTGTGTATTCAAAATGGTTAGGATAGATATATAGTTACATTCTCTTGATGAATAGAGGGATTTGTTCTAATGGTGTTTGTAAATAGGATATCATGTCTGCATCTTGTACAGCAAATAATCACTGGGAAGAGAATATGCAATGTGTTAATTATTGAAACTATCCTACCAATTTGATTTGAAACTGCCTCATTGCTATTTCTCAATAAAACTATTGAAAAAATGGTCATATAAGAAAATATAGAAGGTGAATCTCATAACTATCATAAATATTTTAAAATATGAAAGCCTAAATTTAAAAAGGGTATCTAATATAAAGTTGGCAAAAAACAGAACAAGACTGAACTGTAAGAGTTACATGATTCTTAAAGAAATTTGTCTTTAGGATATATTTGCCTAAACAATTTTCTTACAAATTAGAACTCACCCTCATTAGAAAAACTAACAATACATTTTCAAAGGTAATGACATGGTCATAGAATCTACAGTTCTCCCAGATTCCAGGGTCCAAAATCAAGTTTCCCCTGAAAGAAAATATACTTTGATCTAGGAAATATCAAATTTTAATACATTAAAAAATTATCTCATTCAACTGTTGAGCCTTTAAGCTAAAATAAACGATTGAAAAGGTATTGCTACGGTCTCAATGCTTGGGTCCACATGAATTCATGTGCTGAAACCCCAGGCCCATGTCTGATGAAGCAGGGCCTTCATGTGGGAGAAGGTGAGGAAGCTGCAGGCCTCACAAGGGGGCCGTGTCCTGCTACAGGAAGCCCATGGGGCACGCTTTCCTGTCTCTTAATATGTGATGACACAGCAAGAAGGCACCATCTATGACAGAAACAGGCCCTCACCACACACCAAGTCTGCCAGTGGTGTGATCTTAAACTTTTCGGCCTCCAGAACTCAATAACCATGTAAGATTTCCCCCATACACAATGATCATAAAGAAAAAACACTAGAGCGTCACCCATGGTTAACTTACTTACCCATTTTCTAAACTTAAGAGAAAATTAGGAAAGTATGAATAAAATAAAAAATAGAACTTCTCAAGAAGAAATTGTTTTAGAAAAGCATACATTTACTAAGACTGTAAAAGCAAAAACTTAATAAAGAATACATGAAAGTTTCCAATGGATATTTTTAAACTAAAAGACTTTTTTAATTGCCATTTATAATCTAACACAATTGTCAAATAAATTACAGAAGTAGCCCAGCTTCAAAAAGAAACAAACATTTGATTAAATTTGAAAAGAATGAGTACAGAAAATTTAAAAATTGAATTCTAAAACATTCTCAACGTGAAAGTTTCCATTGCTTCTGTAACAAAAAAATTTTAAAAACCAAACCTGCCATATTCGCGTAAGTCCATGTTCTAATTTCTTTTTTACATATCCACGATCAAAATTAGTTTCTTCAGTATCCATCATATTATTTCCTTCTGAAAATAAAGGAAGGCAAGTGTTTCAGACTTGATTCAACTTTTTTTCAAAATAATTTCCATTTGGTTTTTCATGTTTGTGGGACAACATAAAACAGAAAATTCTATATATCCAATTCTTATACATTCAAAGCAGTGTAAAGCTACAGGTGTTAGAAGTAAAGCCATTAATAAGTAACCTTAGACAGTGAATCACTATCCCCACCTAACGCCACTCAGCACATATGTGACTGGAGCAGACATTCCAACCCATGCAGTTTGGTCCCAGCAATTGGGATTTGGATCAACACATAGTGAGTGCCTACGCCAAGACCACGTGACAGACTGGCACCCAGGCAATACAGGAACAATGAAATTATCAATTAATACGCTGCCAACAAGAATATAGACTGCAGAATTACTCATGCAGCGAATGATAATCATACGGTTCATTCCAGATAAATAATCTGCCACTGTTCAGTTCAACAAGTAAAATCAATAATCTGGCTCAAAACCAATTTCCCTCTAAACACAACTGAAAATACATATATACAATTTAAATTAAAGAGTACAATTTGGTGTGAATGAAGTGAGAATATGACATCACCTTGCACCAAGCTAGCAAGGTGTACACTGGTAACTGGAACAAAGTCCTTTCACAGCCAGCCAGCTGAACCAGACCACCACAAGCCTAGTTCACCTCTGAGTAGTACAAGAGCTGAATTATATGTATGACCTGCTTAATCAAAATAGTAGGTTATGCATTTTATGTAGAATATTAACGTATTAGGCTGCCATATACTAAAACGCAGAAATCACAAGTAGATGAATTCTCAAGTCTTTTTTAGTTTTATGAAGTTCTGCTAATAATTTTCAAATTAATGATTTCGATAATTTCATTACTGAATTTGAACATGAAAAATTTTATCTGACCTAAACAGGTAATGTTTTGGAATCATAGATATTATCATGAAGCTACAGTGATAATCAGAACACCTGAATACATAGACGGACTGGAGAAACGTGCAAGGCTCTGGATTTGATTTAAAAAAACAAAAACCAAAGACATAAGATTGAGGTGAAAGGATATTTAGTAACAAGAACTGAGAATGTGAGACTTTTGGAAAGACTTTTCAGCTTGACTCAATATTCTAATAAATATAAACTACTGCCCTTAAGCAAAAAGCTGGCTTTACTATAATGAATATATAGTCATTTAAATTCTTTTATATTAATTTTTAAATGTTTTTGACACATAGTAATTATGTATACTTATGATTTCTTAGTCCTGTTAATTCTGTTGCAAACCTTTCCTTTGTTTTCTCAAATAAAGGACTGGAAGAAAAACAGAATTTCTAAAATATCTGAATAGCATCCACACCCAGAGCATTATACAGGTTGCCACAACAGGATAATCTTCGCCTAGAGCGGAATCCCAGTGCGTCCAGCAAGCCCAAAGGTAATACAACAAAACACAACAAAAACACCTGCACAGCTATTAATAATAGTTCTGTCTTTCCACACATATTAACAACTACACTGTACTCTCCTTGAACTTTAAAGGAGCATTTTAAGAGAGGGCAAGGAGAAAAGCTAGGAAACATGACGGGGCAAAGCCATACATTTAGATGGCTAAGGCAACGATCCTGAGAATCTTCAGCAGGTTTTGAAACTAGCAGTTAACTGGTAGGATTCTCATCCTGACTACATATGCTGATACCTGTGAACTAAGAAACAGCACTGAAGATAGCAATGCGTAATGGTTGGAATTCCATGCTTGGAATGCCTGTCATTCTGGTCTTCTAAATATGTACTGCTTGTCATGTCATATCAATTATGGCCATACTGTCTCTCAAGTAAATGTTTAAAAAAAAAAAAAAAA